AGCAGGACTGAAGCAGGACTGAAGCAGGACTGAAGCAGGACTGAAGCAGGACTGAAGCAGGACTGAAGCAGGACTGAAGCAGGGCCAAAGCAGGATCGAAGCAGGACTAAACCTGGACCAAACCAGGGCCAAAGCAGGATCGAAGCAGGATCGAAGCAGGACTGAAGTAGAGCTAAACCAGGACTAAAGAAGGACTAAAGCAGGACCAAACCAGGACTGGACCAGGACTGGACTAGGACTGGACCAGGACTGGGCCAGGACCAGTGTGCAGTGTGAGAGACTAGGACTGAACCAGGGCTGGTCTGCTTTAGTCGTTCAGTCCCTCCTTCTTCTTCTTGATTCAGTCCTGGTCCAGTCCTGACTCAGTCCTGACTCAGTCCTGACTCAGTCCTGGTCCAGTCCTGGTCCAGTCCTGACTCAGTCCTGACTCAGTCCTGGTCCAGTCCTGGTCTCTCCCTCTGAGTCTGTGTTATTTCCTAATGTCAGGCATCAGTATGCAGCGGAGCGGACTGAGCGCGCTCCGTGGCTCTGAGATGATGTCGCATAAAAACAACAAACATAAAAAAACCTCACAAAGAAGTTCATTAAAGCTCGGGTCCGTAACTTTCACACCACAATAGAACTCTGTGTAGAATGTCTCTAGTCACCGGCTCTACAACAGGTCACATCCAACACTAGTTTTCATGAATTTCTGGCCTCTGTCACATACAAAGAGAGGACCACCCCCTCTCGGCCAATCAGCTCTCTGCCCAAAGAGTCAATTAGTGACTCAGAGAGCACTTTCTGACACAACAGATCACATTTTCTAATGAAAGAAGAGAGGAGCTTATGTAAAAGAAGACCCCAGTAGTAAAGAGGATCATTTGATTCTTGTTTGGAGTCATTCACCAAACTCTCACAACTCTCTCTGGTCCCTCTCTGGTCTCTCTCTGGTCTCTCTCTGGTCTCTCTCTCTGGTCCCTCTCTGGTCTCTCTCTGGTCCCTCTCTGGTCTCTCTCTCCGGTCTCTCTCTGGTCCCTCTCTGGTCCCTCTCTGGTCTCTCTCTGGTCTCTCTCTGGTCTCTCTCTCTGGTCCCTCTCTGGTCTCTCTCTGGTCCCTCTCTGGTCTCTCTCTCCGGTCTCTCTCTGGTCCCTCTCTGGTCCCTCTCTGGTCCCTCTCTGGTCTCTCTCTCTGGTCCTCTGGTCTCTCTCTGGGTCTCTCTCTCTGGTCCCTCTCTGGTCTCTCTCTGGTCTCTCTCTGGTCTCTCTCTCTGGTCTCTCTCTGGTCTCTCTCTGGTCCCTCTCTGGTCTCTCTCTGGTCCCTCTCTGGTCTCTCTCTCTCGGTCTCTCTCTGGTCCCTCTCTGGTCTCTCTCTGGTCCCTCTCTGGTCTCTCTCTCCGGTCTCTCTCTGGTCCCTCTCTGGTCCCTCTCTGGTCCCTCTCTGGTCTCTCTCTGGTCTCACTCTGGTCTCTCCCTGGTCTCTCTCTCTGGTCCCTCTCTGGTCTCTCTCTGGTCTCTCTCTGGTCTCTCTCTCTGGTCTCTCTCTGGTCTCTCTCTGGTCCCTCTCTGGTCTCTCTCTGGTCCCTCTCTGGTCTCTCTCTGGTCTCTCTCTGGTCCCTCTCTGGTCTCTCTCTGGTCCCTCTCTGGTCTCTCTCTCCGGTCTCTCTCTGGTCCCTCTCTGGTCTCTCTCTGGTCCCTCTCTGGTCTCTCTCTCCGGTCTCTCTCTGGTCCCTCTCTGGTCCCTCTCTGGTCCCTCTCTGGTCTCTCTCTGGTCTCACTCTGGTCTCTCCCTGATAGCCTCTGACAGTAAAGCAGCCCATTCTTCTTTGCATAACCTTCTTACGCCACTGAGCACTAGTGAGTCATCGTCTCGGACATATCGACCAATCAGAGCCCTGCCTTTTCGGAAACGAGTCGAAAGTGAAGGTGACAGCTTCTCTCCTGTTTGTGAGACGTATTCACCTCATTCTACTCTCCTCCTCCTCTCCTTTATCTCTCTCCTTTTTCTCTCTCTCTCTCTCCTATCGCCCCTTTTACCCCCTCTCTCTCTCTCCTCTCTCATTTAATCTCTCTCTCTCTTTTAACCACTCTCTCTCTCCTCCTGTGCCTCTTTTCTCTCCTCTCTCCCTCTTTCTCATCTTGATCCTCTCCCTCTCCTCCTCTCTCCTTTTGACCCTCTATCCCCCCGTCTCTCTCTCTCCTCACTTCTCCTCCACCCACTGTCTCTCTCCTCTCTCTCTCTCTTTTCTCTCCTCCCGTACGTCTTCTTTCTCTCCTCTTTCTCATCTTGATCCTCTCCCTCTCCTCCTCTCTCCTTTGCCCCATCCCCTCTTTCTATCTCCCCTCTCTCTCTCTCTCTCTTTTCTCTCCTCCCGTACGTCTTCTTTCTCTCCTCTTTCCTTTCTCCTCTTTCTCATCTTGAGCTTCTCTCTCTCCTCTCTCTCCTATCGCCCCTTTTACCCCCTCTCTCTCTCCTCTCTCATTTAATCTCTCTCTCTCTCTTTTAACCACTCTCTCTCTCCTCCTGTACCTCTTCTTTCTCTCCTCTCTCCTCTCTTTCTCATCTCGATCCTCTCCCTTCCCCACTCTCTCCTCTCCTCCTTTCTCCTTTAACCTCTCTCTCTCTTCTATCCACTCTCTCTCTTCTCTCCTTTCTCCCTCCCATTTCCTCCTGTACCTCTCCCCTCTTCTCTCCCTCCTTTCTTCCCTCTTTCTCAGCTCCCTCCTCTCATTGTGGTCGACAGTCGCTCCTACAGATTTGATTTTCTTCATTTGAATTTCAGACCAAAACAAATGCGTCGTGGAGAAAGCCCCGTCCCGTCTGCTCGGGTCAATACTCAATCTCTCACCCGGCGCTACGCTAACAATGCTATGCTAACATTGCTATGCTAACGCTGCTCTGTCCGTCTCTGATAAATGAACAGACTTTTCCTCCGTAACTGGACTGAGGGAACCAGTTCTAGTTGTGGGTTTTCATTTAGGAAAAGGATTTGATGGATTGAAAGTAAGATGGCTACAGACGCAGGAGAGAAGAGAACCAGATTATTATTGAACTGTTGGAGGTTCAGGTCCAGAGATTTAACCGCTGAAAAATCCAATAGTGATTTTTGTTTCAAATGTTGTGTTTTTAATTTTTTTTATTTAAGTCCCATTGAGATTAAGAACCTCTTTTCCAAACGAGTCCTGGACCAAATACAGATTATTGTAATTACTCAAAACACATCAAAGAGGGTTTCAGAAACCTTTGACTGCAGCTTCTCCTTTCTCTCTCCTTCTCTCCTGGTTTCTTTCTCTCCTTTCACTTTCATCTTGTCTCTCCTTACTCTAACCTCTCATCCTCTCCTTTCTTTACCATCCTCCTCTCTCCTCTCCTTTCTCTCTTCTTCTCTCCTCTCCTCTCTCTCTTCTTCTCTCCTCTCCTCTCTCCTTTCTCCTTTCCTCTCCTCTCTCTTCTTGCAGCCATGACCATGACCCAACCATAGAAGTGAAAAATGAGGTGTTCCAGTTGTGTGCAACATCCCAACAGCCAGACAACCAAGCACTGTCTGTAACTGTTGAGGACGGGGCTGACGTTAGCGAAAACATCAGACCTGAGGAGGATGTTTCCTCTCATCAGGAGGTTGTGGATGTTTGCAGCTCGTCAGAAACCACAACAGAGGAATCCCGGATTTGCAACATAGTAAAAAACCATCGGGAACTGGGTCAGATGAATGTGTTTGAGGATGAACAATTGTTGCAAGGACCTGAAACAGAAGTTGAGGCACCTGAGATGTCTTCATATAACGTTGACATAGCTGCTCCGATTGACCAGGAATTCTCACCTGAAATTCTCCTGGAACCTGCGCTAACAGAGGAAGGCAATGACCTAATCATCAACCAGGAGGCTACATTGGAAGAGAACAATCCTCAAGCAAACATTAATTATTTACCTGATGACATCCTCTCCATGTTGGCCCACATGGGAGTGATCACAGAGAACAATGGTACTTTGGCTTGGGCTGAAGCAACTACAAATGAAGAGAGACCGACTTCACCCGTAGAAGACCAGACCAGAGACGAGTCAGTGTCAGTGGTAGCAAACAAACACAAGGACCAGGGGGAGCTCAGTCCAATAGATCCTCCTTGTCCAGAAGAAACCAGTGGCTGCACAGTTGAGGAAATCACTGAGGCAACCAACGAATCTTCTGAAACTTCTTTTGAGGAGAAATCTGAGAACTTGATCTTAGTCGAACCAGAGGAAGAGAGAGAGGTCAGTGTATTAGACCCACCTCGCCCAGAAGAAATCAGTATCCCCAAAGACAAAGAAAGCTTGGAGTCCTTTGAGGAAATGTTTGAGACTCTCATCCCAGACAGACCCGTGGACTTGGATAAACCGTGTCAAGAAGAAGACAAAATATCCATCATCCAAGAAAGCAAGAAGTCTGCAAAGAAAACCACAACTCTCACCATAATCACAACCATGAGATCAAACCCAAACCCTGAAACATGTATTAAGTCTTTTGAGGAAACATGTGATAACTTGACCTCAGACGGACCTGGGGGCCTGGATCCAGTAGAGAAACTTTGTCAAGAAGAAGACGACATCTCCACAGAAGAAGAAAGCTTGGAGTCTGCAAACATAGCCCCTAAAACTGAGGCTTGTAAGTCCACGGCTCGTAAAACTGCTCACTACCTGACACGCTCCTTTGTCAGAAAACTATTTGAAATGGATGGAGAAGAGGACGACATACGTGCTTGCACACTCATGACCATTGAGCTGCAGAGGAAGGTCGAGAAGAGCATTAAAATCGACTACAACCAAAGTCAATTTAAACCTGAACAGTTGGAGAAGATTGGAAAGAAAGTTGCCAAAAGTCTGAGAGTTACAAACGGCTCCTTTGAGGAGTTGGTGCCCGATGTATTGGAACAGTTCAACACTGAGCTGAGAACTCTCCAAAACCGGCCTAAGTCTGGCCTGGCTCGGTTCTTCTCCAGGGTGAGACAGGCCTTCACTTTTTAAAAAATCTACCAATCCAAGAAGCA